GAAAAGGCGATTATGGAAAATGGAATTCAGTCCAGTCAAGTTGAAACATTACAAAGACATGACAATTCTCCCTTTGTTAACCTGGCACTCATACATGTGGCCTTAAACTATACTTAATTTCCAAATAGAAACTAACAAAGCTTTGCTTCTATTCAACATGACAACTGTTCTTTTTTTTTTTTTGTCGTGGGACCTGAACTCTGGGCCTGGTCGCTGTCCCTCGGCTCAAGGCTAGCACTCTACCACTTGAGCCACAGAGCCACTTCTAGCTTTCTCTGCTTTTGTGGTGCTGAAGAATCAAACCCAGGGCCTCAGGCATGCAAGGCAAGCGCTTTACTACTGAGCCACCTTCCCAGCCCACAACTATTGTTCTTAAAACCCAAACTCTACCCTTATCCCCAAAAGGGCCGGACAGACTTTTTTTTTTTTGCTCTATTTTTTTGTCTTTGGATATTGCTCACTCTTTTCCTTGTTGATTTGCACTCTGTCTTTGAAATTTCAACTAACAAAGTTACCAACCACTAACACATCTTAGATAATAAAAGGATGAGAAAAGAAATGGAGCCAGGTGCTGGTGGCTCATGCCTGTAATCCTAGCTACTCACCACCAGAAAACTGGAAGTGGTGCTGTGACTCAAGTAGAGCACTTGCCTTGAGCTGAAAAGCTCACGGACAGTGCCCAGGCCCAGAGCTCAAGCCACACAAGCAACAATAACAAAAAAAAAATGGAAACAAAATATCTACTTACTATTAATTAAAAAAATAGGTCTGCATCAAAACCAGGAGGATACTAGCTGTCAGTGGCTCACTCTTATAATCCTAGCTACACAGGAGTCTGAGATCTGAGGACTACTACTGGAAGTTAGCCTGGGCAGAAAACTCTGGAGATTCTTATCCCCAATTATCTAGCAAAAAGCCAGAAATGGAACAGTGGCTCAAGTGGTAGAGCACCCACTTTGAGAAAAAAAGAAGTTAAAGGATAAGAGTTCACTATGTTTTAGTTACTGTCACCCACTACCTAGTTCACATTTTCTTTGCCTGCAGCAAGACCTCAGCTGATCATGGTTCCTTGCCTAATAGAATGTCTCAACTCTTTTGTGAAGGGTCTGAGCCATTAAAGTCTAAATTGAGTTATTAGAGTTTTCCATTGACCTTAATCAGAGGATACCAGAGCACCAAAGATTTCCTGCCTTCTTTCTCCTTAGCTGCATTGCACAGTAATAGCCCACTTTCCTCCTGATTGTCAGGACAGTCAGGCTCAGCCACCTCAGCTAGTACTTTGATGGCTGATGCAGTACCCAGAGGCTAGCTTCAAGCTCCAGTTCAATGGTGGAAATGTTTCTCTCTTGCCTGCAAAGACCTCTAGCCTAGCAGAGCTTAAGTTGCAAGGATGGAGGTAAAAAGTTTATTACTGGATCCCTCCCTACTGGGTAGGGTTCTTTTTTATTTTTTTGGTTTTTTTTTTGCTAGTCCCAGGGCTTGAACTCTGGGCCTGGGCGCTGTCCCTCAACTCTTCAGCTCAAGGCGAACACTCTACCACTTGAGCTACAGTGCCACTTCCAGTTTTCTGGTAGTTTATTGGAGATAGGAGTCTCACGGTCTCTCCTGCCCGGGCTTTGAACCGAGATCCTCAGATCTCAGCCTCCTGAGTAGCTAGGATTACAGGTGTGAGCCACCAGCGCCCGGCCTGGAACTTCTTTTGCTCAAGGCTAGCACTCTACCACTTGAGCCACAGTGCCACTTCTAGCTTTTTCTGTTTATATGAGTTACTGAGGAATCAAGCCCAGGGCTTCATGCTAGGCAAACACTCTACCACTAAGCCACATTCCTAGTCCTAGTTCATTTTTTATCCCTTGATTGCTGGACTCATGAATCCTGTGTCTAGTTGCTTACAGCAGACACTAGACATTGGAGGCCAATGCCCAGCTCTGCAAGGTTCACCCATGAGTTGGCACTGCAGTACAGACTCAGAAAGCTGTTCAACCATCTGTCGATGCAGTTGCTTCAGGATGGTGGTGAGCATGGTGAGATTTGTGAATTCCGTGTGAGTGAACCCATTGCTGCATTTCCTTACTGTGAATGAATGCCACTGGCAAAGGTAAGGCATTCTGCAAGTCTGCTGATGATGTTTGATGGAAGCACTGTCAGAGCAAGGGTCAATTCCAGGAAAAACAGAGTTGCCTTTTCCCTGTTCCAAGTGGCCCAAGGGAATCAACCTAACACCAGGTGGCTGGCAGCTGCCTAGTTAATGGCACTCTACAAGGGCTTAGTGTTGTCCTCTGCTGCCAGATGAGGTACTCAGCAGTGGCTGAAGCCAGGTGAGCCTTAGTGAGCAAAAGTCCACATTGCTGCATCCCTGCACAACCTCCATCTGTCCCCATGGCCACTCTGTTCATGAACCAATCACAGGAATGGCCCAGAGGAGACTGTCATCTGATGTACTTGATCATTCCCATCTCACTTTAGCCTTTGGTGAGCATTCACATGAGCACAAGGATCTTTATACTTCGCCATTAGGGGTCTAGCTTCCTACTTCTTTTTTCTTTTTT